CCAGATGTGCCAGAGCTTGGCCACCCTGCCCTGAGGAGTTGTCTGGGCCCAGCACGCGTTCCAGCTTCTGGGATGCACAGTAAGTGCCCAGGCCTAGGCTGCGGGACGACCATGCTCGCTGCTCACAGCACCTGTGAGTCAGAGACTCCGACAGGCCACTTGGGATGGCCCAGGCCTCCTCCCCAAGGTCTGCGGCCTCCTCGGGAAAGCCTCGGGGCTGGAACCCGGATCCTCTGGAGTCTCCTACAGACGATGCCGCCGTCCGCGGGACCTGCAGCGAGACCTGGGGCTGGGCCTCTCCCTCAGCCCCACGTGTGACATGGGTAGGCTTCCTGAGGCCAGCCCTCGAGAGAGAGGGTGGAAGCCGAGGCACGGAGCCACCTGGCATCCCTTCCGACAGTCACGAGGCCCTCAGATTCCAGAAGAGGGGACAGAGACCCCTTCATGGGAGCAGCCTTGGTCATGTTGGAGAAGAGCCTGGGGCTGGCAGACCCATGGGACATCTTTGGAAAATGCCTCCAGTCACTCGTGTGGCCACCCAGCAAGGCCCAGAGTCATGCACAGCCCACCTGCCAGGACCTGTCCCATGGCGTTGGAGCCCTCTCTGCTGCAGGGGAGGGAGCCAAGCCCCCGAACGGCCCGTGTTCTGCTGCAGTCCGGTCAGTCGGGGCGTCCCCATCCCATTCAGCGTCCCAGGTCTGCATTCAGCAAGGGCTGGATGTTCCACCAACCCTGACCCCCGGGAGCAGACACCTGTGGGAGCAGGTGCACCCCGCCTCCACGCACACACAGAGCGCCCCAGGTCTGCATTCAGCAAGGGCTGGATGTTCCACCAACCCTGACCCCCGGGAGCAGACACCTGTGGGAGCAGGTGCACCCCGCCTCCACGTGACACAGACACTGTGGGAACAGGTGCACCCGCCCACACACAGACACTGTGGGAGCAGGTGCACCCCGCCTTCACGCACACACAGACACCTGTGGGAGCAGGTGCACCCCGCCTCCACGCACACACAGACACCTGTGGGAGCAGGTGCACCCCGCCTTCATGCACACACAGACACCTGTGGGAGCAGGTGCACCCCGCCTCCACGCACACACAGACACCTGTGGGAGCAGGTGCACCCCGCCTCCACGCACACACAGACACCTGCAAGGTTTGCCTGAGAGACAAGATTTGGCTCAGGAATCACTGCTCAGAACCTGAAGGCACAGAAAGTACACGCACTCCTAGCAGAGCCGACCTACTGCTATGCCCTCCCAGCCAGTGCCCCAGGTCAGAGCCTGCCCCTTCCTCCAACCCTTCTGCCTCACCCACACCCCTGTAGCTTTGGGGGCCCACAGAAACCACTCCAGTGACCTCTCCGTGCCGGCAGGCCTGTGGTGTGCCTGCTGAGCTCAACCCTCTGTGAACTTGGCTGGCCCTTGCCAGGCGCAGCTCAGCCCTGCGTCTGCCGGCCCTGCCTACCACCTGCCCACGGGGACCGGGAATCTTCCAGTAGCCTCTCTAGGGAAGGTGCACTTTTCTCTCGCATCCTCTCTCTGACTGATGGAGAGGGAGCTGGGTGAAAGGCAGGGCCTTGGCCAGAGCGGGCCTGATGGGTGGGATGGGGCTGAGGGTGGAAGAAGTTGGGGGAGGAAGTGTCTCTGGAGGTCCAAAGCCTCAGCTGGCCCTGCCCCCTGTAAACAGCCCTATTTTTTAAAAGGCCTCCTTACCCAGTTTCAGGGATTTATTTTATTTTATTTTATTTTTTGGAGATGGAGTCTCGTTCTGTCCCCCTGGCTGGAGTGCAGTGGCGCGATCTCGGCTCACTGCAAGCTCCGCCTCCCGGGTTCCCGCCATTCTCCTGCCTCAGCTGGGACTACAGGCGCCTGCAACCGCGCCCGGCTAATTTTTCGTATTTTTAGTAGAGACGGGTTTTCACCGTGGTATCGATCTCCTGACCTCATGATCCGCCCGCCTTGGCCTCCCAAAGTGCTGCGATTACAGGCGTGAGCCACCGCGCCCGGCCAGCTTCAGGGATTTAAAGGGCACCCCCTTCCCCGGCCATTCCTGGGGACCCCCTGACCATCCACAATATTGTGCTAGTATCTAAAGCAGCCAACAAGTCCTATCTGTCTGGGGAAGGTGAGAGTTTTAGGGGGCTCAGGACCTGCTGAGCCGGGGGAAGCAGGGGGCGTGGTATGAGACCTCACAGCGGCTTCCTGAAGCTCAGTGGTGCACGGGGCAGAGCCCACAGGGGAGTCCTCGTTACTCAAGGCCTCCAGGCCATGCCAGATGCCCAGGCGCCGCAGGTGGAGACCACAGGGGCATGTGAGCAACGCATTTGCCACGACCAGCTGCTCCCCGTGTCACTCTAAGACCACAGAAACAACGGGCCGGGCAACCCAGAGAAATGCAAACTCTTCCGCATTCAGAAATTGCAAAGAATGTTCTCCTTCCGGAAGGGCCCTCCCCACACCTGTATCCGCAATTTAAAAAACACAAACAGAGGCTCCTGCCTCATGCCAAGGTTCATTAGTAACGAAGAGAGCACTTTCAGGCAACGCCTTTATTTAAATATGATGATTAACCTGTTTGGTTTTAATGCAAATGGAAGACATCATCTGAAATTCTGGAAGGAGGAAAAGACGCTGCTGGAGGTGGGAGGAAGGGAGAGGGAGGCAGGAAGGGAGGAGAGGAAGGGGCCAACGCTGGTGAAATTCCTGCCATCAAGAAACCCGCTGGACAGAGAAAAAGCATGAAAACAGCAAACGGCCGTGAGGCAATGGACCACATTCCAGGCGAGGCGGGGGCAGTGTTCAGCTCTGTCTGCTCTCCGGGGACCCACACCCTGACCCTGCGCTGGGGAGCACTGGGCTGGGGGCCAGCGAAGCACTCTGGCTGCACGGCGGGCCCAGTTTTAACGGTGCTATTTCATTAGCAGTTTTACTCAGCTGCTGGCAGGGCCCCAGCACGGCTGCCTCTGTGGCTAGAGGGGTGCAGGGGGTGCTGGGCTCCAGGCCAGGCAGTGCCCGTTTCCACAGAGCCAGTGCCCCCACACAGCCACATGCAGCAGCTCCCTTGCTACCCCACGGGGCCTCCCGGGGACTCCGCACCCGCAGGACACACACTGTCCCCTCCTGGCCCTGCCCACGGGGCTGCTGCAGAGGCTGGCTGCCCGCTCTGCTCCCTGACGAACTTGGAATCCCAAACTGGGAGATGGGGTGGGGGCGGGGGTATAACATCTGCACCAGCTGCGAAGATCGAAGCTCCTGTGCTCGAACGGCTGACCCAGAGCGTGGCCCTCACACACGTGAGCCACGCCCTGTGAAGGCTGCGCCCGGAAACCTCTTTGCCACGTCGCTGTCCTGGGCGAGTCTGGAGCTGCACCCCAGCCAGAATCCTGTGTGTTTGCACACTGAGGACAGCGAGGGTCGGCTGTGTGTCCACCACCGTCCACGCCAATTTTAGATAATTTGGTTTCCTCTTTACATAGCGTTTAAGGGAGCGAGCAAACTGTCACCTCCCAAAACAAGTTTCCAGTAATTTCAAGTGGGTCTTGTCTATCTAGCGCGCTCCGGAATGATCCTTGCCCATATCACAGATTAAATGCTTGTGTGCTGTCACTTGGCCCCCAAATACAGGCCCTACCTTCAAACCTTCAAACCAAGGCGGCAGTGCCTTCGTGTGAGCCCACTTCGTTTTATTGCCTCTTGCCTAGAAAATTTTCGCAGGGGTGCACACGCTGTATCTCACATGAACAGTGATCTGAGGCTGGGCTAATAGAATGTCTCATAAACTTGAAAAGATGTTTCAAGAACATCTCCTCCTCTTGTGGCCATTCACAGCCGAGTTCCAGAATTCTCGGGCCAGCAGGGAGACGGTGTCTGCTGGGACACGCAGAGGGACCCCTTGTTGAGGTGGTGGTCCCAGTCCTGCCTTGGGGACCCAGCCCTGCCCTGTTCCGTCCCTCTGTGTTTCAGATGAAGCTGGCCAGCTGCAGTGAACGGTCCAGGGTCAGGCACGTGACCCGTGAGGCAAGTGAATCCATTCCTGGAAGTGGGGAGCAGGCTCCGTTCTTTCTGGGGGGCTTGGAGTCCTGCTGCTACTGTCCTGGCACTGGGAGAGGCCGGCCTGTGAGGACTAGGCAACCTGGGTGGGACCCAGGGGAGAAATCGGGCCATGGCAACACCTTTCTAATCTTAAGTCCTTGACCAGCTACTGTGCCCTGGAGACCTGTCGGTGCTGGAGTTCCATGTGGGGCAGCATGGCCATGCAGGGGACCCTCAGGAGGCTCCCACCAGACAGCTGAAAAGGCATAACACTGGGACCCAGGGCCATTCCACCATGGTCCTGACCAGTCCTCAAAACCCTCAAGGTCATGAAAAACGAGGCGAGTCTGAGAAAGCCACAGCCTCGGGGAGCCCACAGAGACGTGAGGCGTAAATGGTTCCTGGGGTCCTGGACGGGGTCCTGGGACAGGAGGGCGTCAGAGAAGCACGGTGTCCGGCTCCTCGCTGTGGACAGTGCTGGCACTCTGGCCATGACAGATGTCCCTGCGATGTGAGATGTTCTCATCCTGGGGGGCTGGGCGTGGGCGTGTGGCGCTCTCTGAACTATCTGTGCAACTGTCTCGTAAATCTAAAACAATTCTTTCATTTATTTATTTTTTTCAGACAGAGTTTTGCTCTTGTAACCCAGGCTGGAGTGAGTGGCGTGATCTCGGCTCACTGCAACCTCCGCCTCCCAGGTTCAAGCGATTCTCCTGCCTCAGCCTCCCGAGTAGCTGGGATTATAGGCATGTGCCACCACACCTGGCTAATTTTTGTATTTTTAGTAGAGACAGGGTTTCACTATGTTGGCCAGGATTGTCTCAAACTCCTGACCTCAAGTGATCTGCCTGCCTCGACCTCCCAAAGTGCTGGGATTACAGACGTAAGCCACCATGCCCCGCCTAAAACAATTCTTTTAAAAAAGCATTTTAAAAAGACGAAAATAAAACGCAATTTGAACATTCATTGAGGAAAATAATGTTTTTTCAGAAATGAACAGGACTTTGATTTACTTGTTCACACTCTGGTCAGAACCCTGGAAGGAGATGAGGAAGCAGGTTTGACAGGCACGCGGCCGCCACGCCTGGGTTCCACGGTTTTATTAGAGAGGCACAGAGCAGCTGGTGGCAAGAATGAAGTTCCAGAGTGGAAAATGCCCTGCCCAGCCCCGGGGTTTCCCTGGCCTGCTGGCTGAGTGGATGCTGGTGTTTTTGCACGGCAGCAAGGGCTCAGAATCCCCATGTAAGACCCCGCAGCCATGATGAAGTTGAGTTTTTTAAGTCAGAGGCTCCTGGCAGCTGCTGGGTGGGAGTGGCCTGGGGGAGGATGTGTGTGATGTCAGGGACACCCCCAACCCTGGCTTTGAGCAGTAATGCTGACAAGGCTGGGTGCACAGATGGGATTGGGAGAAACCAAAGCCTTGAACCGCTGACGGACTTGGTGGGGGAGATGCTGAGCAGCAAGGATCTGCCCACAGTGGGGGCAATGTTCCCATACCGTAGGGGACGGCTGTCCCTCTTCTGCCCCACCGGGGACAGGCAGAGAGGAAATGCAGAGACTGGGGACTTGGGGGGTGACATCCCCCACCCCACGGCATTAAGGGGTCTCTCCAGGTAAACAGAAGCTGGAAGGAGCATGAACCCCCGGGGGGACAGGCCTCCTGGCGTGAGGGGCCACAGGCCAGCGAGGGGCCTGGGATGCCGGTGCAGCCCCAGTGCCAGAGCTCCTGTCATAGGCCCCAGGCCAGCTCCTTTCTCTGTGTGAAAGGAGCCTGGAAATTCCAGAAAGATCTAACAGGATCAGCAGAAACCCAGGATGGAAACGCTTTGGAGACTGCCCTCTGTCCACCCTGCTGGAAGAATGTCCTGGGCCGTGGCTGGCAAGCAACACTGCCCACAGGCCCTGGCAGAGGAGGGAGGCGCGGAGCACTCTGCACCCTCCAAGGCCAAATTCAGAGGCGGCTGCTGAGATTTCTCGAGCTCATCTCCCAAGCACAGCCCTCAGAGTCAGATGGCGGGGGCTCAGGGTCAGCATCCTACAGACCACCAGAATCATCAGGACCCCAGCTGGGGCAAATAGAATAGATTGGGGCAGAAGGGGCACCAGTCTGAGCCGCCCCCTGGCTTCCAGCAGTGTCCCTCTATTGTGCTGAATGTGCCTCCGCCAGGCTTCTAGCAGGACCTAAAGGGAGAGGCTGCTGGCTGAGCTCCATCCAGGACTCCTTGCCACAGCCCCTGCACGCAGGGAGCCACAGGGCTGCCCCGCTGTCACTCACTGGCCATCTGGACTGTCTGTCCATTCGTCAGCTCTCCATGGGGTGCCTGTGCTAGGCCAGGTCCTGTCTGGGTGTGGGGATATGATGATGAACAAGAAGTCAGGGTCGCCATTCATGGGCCACTGTCCAGTGGGAGAGGCCAGCTTGAATCAGACAATCACCCACTAACAGAACATGCAACATGATAGGTTCTTAGAATATGACAGAGAGGCTGAGCTTAACCAGAGGGCTTCCTGGAAGAGGTGACATTTTAGCTGAGACTGGAGGATGACTGGAGATTGTCTGGGAGGGAAGAGCATGACATGGATGTTGTTGTGATTAAAACGTACATGGTACGGGGATGGGAGAGGCAGGAGGCTGGAGATCTGGAGAGGGGTCTGGTCGGTTTCTAAGAGCGGAGAGAGCTATCAAGGGGCTCCATGCTAGAGGGGACTGGATTGGAGGGGCTGGCTGGGAAGGAAGTGGGGACGCTGCAGGACATAGGGACTATCGTGCTGTTACTGTTGTGTAAGGTGATGGCTTGAACCTGGGAAGGGTGACAGAGATGGGGAATGAGCACCAAAGATATTTGGGAGATCAACCAATAAGATCAGCACCAGACACTCTCACCTGAGTTCCCTATTGTATCAGTCAGCTACAGCTGTGTAACGAACAGCCACAGTCAGCTGCAGACAGTAGACAACATTTCTTTCTGAGTCCCATGTCCACAGGCTGATCCAGCTGGTTCTGGCTGTGGGCAAGGGTCCGCTCTGCTCACTGTTTCTTGTCCTCCCGGGACCAGCAGGCCACCCAGGACCAGTTCCTGTCATGGCAAGGACAGAAGTGCAAGAACACAGCCTGACTGCCCATGAGCAATTCAAGACTTCACTTGTGCCACGTTCACCAAGATCCCATTGGCCAATGGAAGTTACAGGATGAAGCTCAAGCCCAGGAGGTGGAAGAAGGCTCTTCCTGCCTTGCAGTCCCCTGCGAGGCTGTGGGAACACGCTGCTGCCATGAGGAGGGGAGAACCGTGGCTGAGAGTCCACCCGGGAGTGTGCTCTCATTTCCCGGGTGATTCAGTGACTCTGTGGAGAGGAAAATGCAACAAAACTTATACTGCAGGTAAAAGGAAGACTTTCACAAAGGTGGAGCCCTTGACAGGGAATCATTCTGGGGGAAATGTCCATTAAGGAGAAAGTATCCTTTTCAAAGCCCCCCTTTCCCTGGGCGTGTCAAATGCCAGTGCAAACCTAGACCAAACGCACCAAGAAATGCTGGCGAGATCAATAGTTCACATGAGAAAATGGGCAGGTTGAGTGGCCGTCTAACTAAGAGGCCCTGGAAGGACCACTGCCTCCCTGAAGGAGCGTAGGAGGGAGAACCAGCTCCCGAATTCCCAGCCTGAGGAGCAGAGCACAGGCAGAGCAGCCTGCAGACACCCTCCTTCCAGCTCCTGCCCTGGCAGGCCGGCAGCCGTCCACAGACCAGCCAGCCAGTGTCATTACAGTAATCTGCCACGGCGATGCTACACATAAAAAGATTGCTTTCCCGGAAAACTGCTGACACGCGGGTCTGGGAGGGAGCGCGCCTGAGAGAGACGAGAGATGGGCCTCCTGGATCCATACGATGCATGATGGCTCCAGCTTTAATCAATTTTCAGCCCTTGAAACTAAAATAGTTGTGATTTATGAAATTCCGCAAGTCAGATCTCTCTGTTGCCTGTGTGCTGTGAGCAGTGAAGAGGCACGCTCCCCTCAACAGCACCTCCAGGCACAAAGGGCCTCGGGCAGCCTTGTTGGAGATCCTCCCTGGAACATCCACCTTACCCCAGGCCCCTCGCGTGCTGACCTCCAAATGCAACATGAGCAAACACAGGTACATGGTGTCTCCCAAAGGAATCATCACACTGGCACCCCCATATCGAGGGGACACTGTCTCTGTGCTTTTTAAATTTTTTAATTAAAATCTTTGATACATAATCGATGTACACATTTTCAGGGTGCGTGTGATAATTTAATACAGTCATGTAATTTGTAAAGGTTCAATCCGTGTAACTGGGATATCCGTCACCTTAAATATTTGTCCTACTTAGAATGATTTTCTCCTAGTTGTTTTGAAACAGCTGATTGTAATTATAGTCGCTCTAGTGATCTGCCAAACACTGGGTCCTCTCTCTTCTGTCGAACTGGGTGTTTGCCCTCAGGAATCAGCCTCTCTTCATCTCCCCTCGCCCTCCCCTTGCCAGCCTCTGGTAAGCGTCTATCTACTCTCTGCTCCAGCAAGACCCACTTTTTTTCACTCCTGTGTGTAAGAGTGTGTGACATTTGTCCTTGTGTGCCTGGCTTATTTCACTTAACATAATGACCTCCAGTTCCATCCGTGTTGCTGCAAATAATAGGATTTTATTCTCTTTTTTTGTGGCTGAGTAATACTCCCTGGGTATCACTTTTGTTTGTCCAGCAGGTCCTCAGCAAGACCTGGAGTCTGTACTCTGGGGTCAGCAGTGGTTGAAACTGGCCCCTGGCCTCAGGAAGTCACGTCCCAGTGGACGGAGAGGTGACTGATGGAGGAAAAACAGTCCTCCCCACTGACAGGAGACTCACAAGTTTGTATTAGGGGAGTTCCTTGGAAATATACAGGAAATATCCACTTCTATCCATTTTCTTTTTTCTTTTTTTTTTTTTGAGACGGTGTCTCGCTCTGTTGCCCAGGCTGGAGTGCAGTGGTGCCATCTCTGCTCACTGCAAGCTCCACTGCCTCCCAGGTTCACGCCATTCTCCTGCCTCAGCCTCCCTAGAAGCTGGGACTACAGGCGCCCGCCACCACGCCCGGCTAATTTTTTCGTATTTTTAGTAGAGACGGGGTTTCACCGTGTTCGCCAGGATGGTCTCGATCTCCTGACCTCGTGATCCGCCCGTCTCGGCCTCCCAAAGTGCTGGGATTACAGGTGTGAGCCACCGCACCTGGCCTCTATCCATTTTCAAATCACGTAATTATATTCCATCTGTGATCTCTACTCACTCAACCAAGGATTGAAATGAGCTATTTGAAGTGCAGATGAGAAGTCTTATGTCACCACGTACCTAAATCTACTGACAGCTTAATAACTGGAATGGATAGAGATCATTTTATGGCCCTGAAATGAGTGAGGTTTTTCCAAGCATCACAAAGGAAAAGATTGGTATATTTGACTACATGAAAATTAAAAGCGTCTGTATGGGTAGAGATACCATAAACCAAAATTAAAAGCAAATGGCAAACTAAGAGAACGTATTTTCAATAGACATTACAGACAAAGAGTTAATTGTGTTCTCATAAAGCAATACAGTTTTTAAAGGACAAGCCCACCCCTAGAAAAATGGGCAAAAGATGTGAACAGGCACATCCACCAATCACACTCTAACCAGTAAACTCACGGCAAATGCCTGACTTCTCTTGAATCAAATAAATGCAGTGGAAGCATCCGTGATGTTCAGTTTATCTTCTGTCAAACTGGTAAATGCCATTTTAAATTGTAAAGCCAATTCTGGCCTAAGAGCTGGGAAAATACCTGCTAGTAGAAATAAATGGGCACGTCGTCTTGGGGATGGGGATGGGGGCAGTGGTACATTCTGGAACAACATACCCAAATCCCAATAAAACTCATTAAAATGTGTCCTGGCCGGGCGCGGTGGCTCAAGCCTGTAATCCCAGCACTTTGGGAGGCGGAGATGGGCGGACCATGAGGTCAGGAGATCGAGACCATCCTCGCTAACACGGTGAAACCCCATCTCTACTAAAAAATACAAAAAACTAGCTGGGCGAGGTGGCGGGCGCCTGTAGTCCCAGCTACTCGGGAGGCTGAGGCAGGAGAATGGCGTAAACCCGGGAGGCGCAGCTTGCGGTGAGCCGAGATCGCGCCACTGCACTCCAGCCTGAGCGACAGAGAGAGACTCCGTCTCAAAAAAAAAAAAAAAAAAAAAAAAAAATGTGTCCTAAGAGGATGAGTCTGCGCAAAGATTTGCATGGAAGAACAGTCATTATATATAATACCAAAAGCCGGAAATGATCTCAGAAGGTAAATAAATCATGGTAGAAAGGCACACAGCCACTGAAAGTGTTGTCGAATATTCATTGGCATGTTATTCATCGACATGGAACGGTATCTAGGTTAGGCCAACACGTAGAATAAAAGAGAGTTGCAGAAATGGTGAACGTCACGTGTGAACTGTTCCATAAGAAAGAAGGTGAAGAATTAAACAAGTAGGTGACGAAGGGCATGTGAGTCCTCGTTCTCCCCAAAACCACTCTCAGGGGAACTGAAGGACCATGTGAACTTTCTTGCTGCCAATCAGAAGAGATTACTAGAGAAGCGGGTCGGTTTCTTATCTAACACGCCCACTCGCCACCTTCCATCCCCACTCATTTTTTCCCATGGACCGCTCTCCATTGAGTGATTTCGAAGCATCCTGCGGCAGGGGTGTCCCGGGACTCACAGGCAAGCGCAGAACCCCGGGAAGGCTGCACGCACTCCCAGCGGCCACCAGACCCAGCGAGCCCTGGGTGCAGTGGAGGCAGAGGCAGCATGGTGGCAGGGGCAGCTGCCATCACCATTTTGGGTTTTTTTTGCAGCTAAAACTGATTTGTTAAAAAGGTCGTGTGAGTGACAGAGAGGTGCAGGAGCATGGCCAGCCTTGCTCAGCCACCTTTTTTTTTTTTTTTTTTTGAGACAGAGTCTCACTCTGTCGCCCAGGCTGGAGTGCAGTGGCACGATCTCAACTCACTGCAAGTTCCGCCCCCCGGTTCACGCCATTCTCCTGCCTCAGCCTCCCTAGAAGCTGGGACTACAGGCACTGCCACCACACCCAGCTAATTTTTTGTATTTTTAGTAGAGACGGGGTTTCACCGTGTTAGCCAGGATGGTCTCGATCTGCTGACCTCATGATCCGCCTGTCTCGACCTCCCAAAGTGCTGGGATTACAGGCATGAGCCACCGCGCCAGGCCATCAGCCGGCTTTTAGACGTGGATGAAGACTGTGTGTGCAGCAGCTGCTGGCATCTGCCTGCGTTTGAGTGCGAGCTCTACGCTCACTGGCAATGGGACCCGGGCAGCCACGGCTCCTCATTGTTTTATCCTAATCTCGAATGTGGGAAATGGTAGTGTCTAGTGTGAGATTCATACAAGTTATCACAGGGTCACCACTCACGAAGGAAGTGTCCGATAAACGTGCGTGGCCATTGTTAACCTTGTTATTGTTACTGCGTACATCCAAGCAGACATGGCCTCTTTCCGAGAGCATTTGGCTTGGAGGGAGATTATGAACATCCAGCTGAGGCATGTGCACGCCCTGGACCACCGAGTCCATCAGAAGCACATACATTGTTCCCAAAATGTGTGTGCTGAAAGTTGACAGCGCCCTGGTCATAATTATCTCAAGCTGAAAGCAGCCCAGACCCCTGCCAACCATTTTGTGTGGGTAAATACACTGTGGGATCTGCCACGCGTATGGCCCTGTGGGAGAGCAGCCTCAGCCGAGCTCAACAACCTGGACGCGTCTCGCAACCTGATGTCTCATGAGAGAGCCCACCACGCATGACGCGAACTGAGTGACTCTCCCAGCAGAAGCACAGAACAGGCCAAACTGGCAAATGGCGTGGCGGGTCCTCAAAAATCCAAAGTAGAATCACCTTAGGATCCAGCAGTGCCGCTTCTGGAAACCGGGTATGTGCCCCAAAGAACCGAAAGCTGGGTCTGCCCTTGTACACCTGTGTTCCTAGTAACCTTGGTCACAGTCGCCCAAAGGTAGAAGCCACCCAAGTGCCCCTCAGTGGAGGAATGGATAAACAAAATGTGGTCTATTTATACAACGGAATATCACTCAGCCTTAAAAAAGAAGGGACTGCTAACACTGGCTACGACACGCACGGTCCTGGAGGACACTGTGCTGAGTGAAATAAGCAGACACAGAAAGACAGGTCCTGCATGCCTCCACTCATACGAGGTTCCTAGAGTGGCCACACACACAGAGACAGAACGTAGAGTGGGGGTACGAGTGGCAGGGAGTTGCTGTTTCGTGGGGACAGAGCTTTCGTTTGGGACGATGAA